GTTGATCGTCGATTTGCTCGAGCGGGCCCAGTAACGTCTCCATTGGAGACTTTGTTGTTACTGTGTCTGGCATATGGAATACTCTCGGTAGCTTGCCGGGCTCTCCGAGAGGGGCGGAGGAATCGAACTCGGGTCGGCCATGTTGGCCGCGTGTAAGGCGAACGCCCTACCCGCTGTGCTATCGCTCCAGCCCAGTAGGCTCTTGCTTTTTAGATACTCAGTTTTTTTCCTAACAAGTCTGTCATTTCCATTTAAATAACTGTCCCCTTTCCTACCCCCTAGAGTGAGAGATAATTTCTCAATTTATATTGGTACCTTTAAAATATGCACCCTGATATGCACAGTGTGATTATTCAACAGTCATCCCAGAGTAAGAAAAAAGAGCCTGGAATCTCCAGGCTGTAGCTTGAACTTTCCATTCGTCTTTTTAAATGCCAAGGACATCTCTGGTGATAAGTGGGTCTGGTAGCATCTCAAACAGTTAAAAGATTTGGTGAATCATGAGGGGCTTACAAATACTGACTGATTCTAAGTGACTACTGGGAAGTACAGTCAGAGAGCAAAAACAGAAAACCAACAAAACAAAAAAACCACAACAAAACCAAACTATAAAACTTCTGTTATTTTAAAGAAAAAAAAGTGACTTCAGACTGTGGAACTGAACAAACCCTCACATTATTTCAATGAAAACAAAACAGACATTTCACCTTTCAAACAGCAGAAATCCCCAAAGTCCCCATCTTTCTTGCCTTAGTTGGCTGTTTATGCAATGATGTAGGGGTTTTCTAGAGAATAATGAATTTTATTCATTTTCTTTTTTAACAAAAAAAATTTCCCATTCGAAGTAGAGATGAATGGAAGAAGTGGGGCACTGAAGGGAAGATGGTTTCACAACACTCTAGAGTGGAAGTTGGCCAAATTACTCGCTTTTTATATGAAAAATGGCCCCAGGAATGGTTAGTGCAAATTTACAGCACCTATATAAGGCAGGAATATTTTCAAAACAACACGCTTAGTAATTTTTTTAGGTATTTGGTTTAGTTTATACAAGCGTCTTGCATATAAAATAGAAAATGCCTAATCAGTTTTTAGAATCTTAAATATTGGAACAAACTATCCCATCACCTGTTGCTTTGCAGCAATGATTCATTCACAGAACTTTTTTTTTCTATCTGTAGTTTTGCCAAAAATAAAACCAGTCCCTCCTCCAAATCGTCAGATCATTATAAATCTATTTGTGAGCCTACTCCTAAGTCGTTGTTAGAACAATATTCAGTGTCAGATAAAGCAATTCAAAATCCTTCCAACTATAAGGTTGTTTCTCCAAAACTCTTTTATATATCTGGTGACTAAAAATTAAGTTATATATTTGTTGATTAAATAATCACCAAATTTATACATTTGGTGATTTTTATAATCGATAAGTATTTAACTCATTAAGCAAAGCTATATTCTTTCTTGAGAGCATTAAAAAGAGAAAAAGGGTTACTGAAAAGTTTTACTCTAATGGTAAGTTAGAAAAGATATGAGATACACACACCACAGAGACTGGCCCACATCCAAAAGAACAAAAGCAACCCGTGTTGGTGCGGATGTGGCGAGAAAGGGACCCTCCTCCACTGCTGGTGGGAATGCCGACTGGTTCAGCCCTTTTGGAAAACAGTATGGATGATTCTCAAAAAATTAGAAATTGAGCTCCCATTTGACCCAGCAATACCACTCCTAGGAATATATCCCAGAGAGGCAAAAAATATAGTTGAAGTGACATCTGCACTTGTTTGTTCATTGCAGCACACTTTACAATAGCCAGAACCTGGAAAATCCTGAGTACCTGAGAACAGATGACTGTTAAAGAAACTTTGGTAAATCTACACAATGGAGTACTATGTAGCTGTTAGAAAAGATGAAGTCATGAAATTTACATACAAGTGGTACTACATGGAAAGTATCATGCTAAGCGAAGTGAGTCAGAAAGAAAGGGACAGACATAGAAAGATTGCATTCATCTGGGGAACATAAAGTAACAAAATAGGAGACTAACACACAAGAATAGCTGAGATAAATACCAGGAGGTTCACTGCATGGCTTAGGAGGTCAGCTGCACATACTAGGGGAAAAGGCAGCTCAGATAGAGAAGGGAGCACCAAATAAAGGATGTTGGGAGGATCCTCCCAGGATGGGAGATGCATGCTGAAAGTAGACTATAGACTGAGCATAATTGCCACTCAATGTCTCTTTTGCAAACCACAGCACCCAAAAGGAGAGAGAGAACAAAAGGGAATGCCCTGCCACAGAGGCAGGGTGGGATGAGGGGGATGGGGGGTGGGAGGGATACTGAGATCAGTGGTGGCGGAATATGGGCACTGGTGGAGGGATGGGTATTCAAACATTGTATAATTGAAACCCAAGCACAAAAATTTGTAAGTCTACAACTGTACCTCATGGTGTTTCACTAATAAAAATTAAAAAAAAAAAAGAAAAGATACCACGGAGAAGGAGAAGAATGGAAATGGAGAATAAAGAGGAAGTAGAACTAGAGATGGTCTGACACACTCTCACTGGTCAGTGAGAGGCAAAGTCAATTTTGCATGACCAAAAGTTGTGTATGTTTTGAAAAGGCCACAGAGTTTCTTTCCTTCAGCAGCAGCATGAAAGCCTAAATCAAATACCAGTTGTGGCCTTGCATTTCAGTGGAGATTGTTCTGCTGTATTCTCTAAAGACAGTGGTGCAAATTTCTGCAGAGCCAGTGGTCACTGTTTCTTCATGAAAAGTCTCATCAGCCACCCAGAGATCTGGGGGCCAATCCTCACTTTGCCCTTCACATCCTTTACATCATTGGCTCTGTTCATCATCTGTCTCCTAAATGCTTTTGATACTCCCACCTCTCTCATAAGCCACCCTTTGGCCTGGACTCTTCTATCACAGTGGCAATTCAACTGGTTGGGCAGAGCTGGATAGCAGTGAGGAAGGCACTTGCCTTATATTGTGGCCTACCTGGGGCTCAATTCCCAGCCCCATATATGGTTCCCCAAGTTCACCAGGTGTGATCGCTGAGCGCAACATCAAGAGTAAAACCTGAACACAAACAGGTGTGACCACAAGAACAAAAATAAAACAAATAAATGGGTCACACCATCTTTGCCCACTTTCTGACAATCTCTCCTACACTTGTCCATCAACCCATCTTCTGATCTTTCACTCCAAGAATCTAATTCTAAATACTCCAGAATCTAACCATATCTGTCTTTCTCATTGCCCAAACTGTTCCCTTTAACACAAAAACTTCAAAAGCAATTTAGGTAATTCCTTCTGTTTTCAGTATTTCTACTAGCTACACTTTTACCCCCATATGCCTTTTTGTATCTTTCTGATCTTGAGCTATGACCTAATAATAATACTTTTCTAATTAATTATTCGAGACTCTCTTCTCTATTAATCTGTAAGTGCTCTGAGATTAGAGGATGTGTTTGCTCATGTATGTCCTCATATATAAGGTGGGGGTAAAACAAGTACTTTTATGATAAAAGGCCCTCCCGTTGATCGTCGATTTGCTCGAGCAGGCCCAGTAACGTCTCCATTGGAGACTTTGTTGTTACTGTGTTTGGCATATCGAATACTCTCGGTAGCTTGCCGGGCTCTCCGAGAGGGGCGGAGGAATCGAACTCAGGTTGGCCATGTTGGCCGCTTGTAAGGCGAACGCCCTACCGCTGTGCTATAAATAATTCAAACAGAATGCAGACCTGGTATGTGTAAGATGTCACTGCTAGGTAGTTTTACAAAGGATAATGGCGATGATAACAATGATGATGGAAACAACAAAAATAAGAAGAAAGAAGTAAATGCAGCAATGTAGAACAATGGATACACCCTGTAAATGTAAAGAATAAATAAGGGAATGAACAAATCGAAAAATAAGCTAATGATCTCACTAGTACAGAGGATTTATTTTTCTCCCCTACAAGCTATGACTGTAATAGAGGATAGAAACACAATCGGATAGAGGAGTCTGTGATTCCCTGTATACTGCCACCATGAAAAATGGCAAAAGAACTTTTTGTTTCCTGGAGTTTTGAATTGATCTTTGTTGCTAAATAAATATTCTAAGCTAGATTTGGGTTTAACAGTTAAAGGGATATAATGTCACAAAATATATTTCCAGGCTTCTCAATCTTGTCTTTATTAACAAAAAGTGTCTTTCTTAATGAACATCAGACTCTTCACTATTTCCAAGCTAAATTCTTTAGAAAACCATGTGTAGCAGGTCATGCATCCCAACAAGTATTTATACAGAAAATTTCAATCTATGCTGCCAAAAGGAAAAGCTCCCCCCCCCCCGTTGTTCTAATAGTTCTAATACATTTCATACCTCAGATTCCTCAATGTCCTCAAGAGAAAGGAGTGTGTTATGTGATTATACATTATGCTCTGCACATCTGAGAGAGGAAGGTTCTTGAACCAACCTGGTCTTCAACATGCTCTGCAATTCTGGTACTGACACCCTTACTAAAATCTCCCAATGAAAAAGATATCTCCGAAGCAGTGCAATCTGTCCAATCTTATTCTCTTACAAACTTTTTCTGCTTTTTATCTTTTTATTTAAGGCAGCATGTGGTCATATTTTAAACTTATTTTGCTGCAGATAGCTCATTTGGATTTAGAAATAAACACCATGTCATCACATTAGTAATGCAACATCTGTCTTTATTCTGTGCATCCAACATCAGAAGAGGGTCTCTGTTCCTGTTTGCTAAAGGAACAACTTTTCTCCTATTGCCCTGGACCCACTGATTTTTGTCTCTTGGTTTGGTGACAACTCATGGTTTGATTTTTTTCAATTCAGTCACCAAATTTTTGAAACTAGTATTTAAGATATTTGGTACTTATGAAATCTAATTTTCACATATAAATGATATGATCTTCATCTATTCTTTAAACTAAAGAATGCTATGGGGAATTCAAATTTGGATAAAAAAGAAAAGAGGAAATTTAGTCAACTGACCTGTTCTTCCTTGGAGCAAACTGGATCTGTTTCCCAAAGTGCTGAGGCCTGGAGGGTGTGTGGGTGCTGAGGATGACAGTGTCTTTGGACCTTGTGGGTTCCTCGTTGGGAAGGGGGAGTTCTCTGAGGGTCTTAGGTCACTTCTCTCAGTGCCAGAGGAGTGAAGAGCACCCTGGTTCTTCTTCTTTTCCTTCTTTAACATATTTACCAGAATATCTGAAGCTAGACTTAAGGATTTAGCTTTTTGGTTTTTTTTGTTTGTTTGTTTTGGGGACACGTCTGGTGGTGCACAAGGCTTACTCCTGACTTCACTCAGGGATCACTCATGACAGATTCAGGGACCATTTTGGGTGCTGGGTCATTTCTTTTGTTTATTTGCTATGGAGCCACATCTAACCTCATACTACTAAGGCAGCAGCGCTACTAATGACCACCTTCAAGGACCTGCTAATATCATTGAAATACGATTATTTCTTCATTTCCAAGGACATTAAACATATTTCACTGATGCTTTAGTTGCTTTACTCCCTATTAGTATCATCACATTATTTTATTCCTTTAAGCAATCTCTTTCTCTTTCATCCTGACACAGTCTTAGCATTCTGCATTCTAGATAAAAATAGTTCTGAAAATTTCCCCACCCCAGCTGTAATAAATAATAAAATTTCAGAAGCCCTTTTGGTTGTTTTTTTTCCCCACAATAAGAGTAAACTTTGTAATGAGTAAATCTGAGTAACCATTTCTCCTGTCTCTGAGTTTACGAGTCACATCATGCATTATATGATATCATGTAGTGCTTAAAACACTTTATTCTAAGTTGCCTTTTTGGTTTTTCTTAGCACTTTGTGGTGGTTGCATGCTTGTGCTTGCTCTTCCTCCCGAGAAGGAGAAAATAGGTCGGATTTATTGCTCATTGTAGAGCCGGAGAATGAGGAGCTAGAGTTTCAATCCAGGTAGGAACTTGAAGTTCAGTGTCCCTCTTCCATGCTTCTTGCACACTGTCATCCTGCGTTTGAGCCTTAGAAGGAGGAGGCAGCATTGTAACTATTCGTTCAGTAAAGAAACCTAGTAGGCACATGTGCACAGTGATATCTCTCTCATCCCCTTTTAAAAAATAAACAAAGAAATAGGCCTAGACTGCTTCCTTTCTGCCCTAATTCATTTTTTTCCTCTTCTGTGCACAGATGTTCCAGAAAGGGATTAAGAAGTTGGTAGGAGTATTTAGGGGAGAAGATCCCAAACTAGGATAAAGGCCAGGAAAAGCAGCAGACCTCAGATCTGGGGCTAGAGCCAGGACTGAGGTCTAGGTTGGGACCATGTCTGGATATGGAAAGGGGAAGAGAGAGGAAAAGGAGTGGAGGGGTGACAGCACTGTGGGCAGCTCTCACAGACTCGGGCTTGTGTGGGAGGACAACCCACTGAGAGACCTGGTGTGACTGGCCGGGTGATAAAGCAGCTACATTCACTTACGCCAGACAGAAAGAATCTGCGAATTCTCAACTAACACGGGAGAATGAAGTTAATCAGGCAGAATGCCTACCTCGGCCCTGGTTTGTTTTTACCTCTTCATTACTGGATTTCCTTCAGGTCATTTAGGCATTTTTTCACATTAGCTTACACTAAAACTCCTTTCAGTGATTAAAGAACAAAATATTAGTTTATAAGAAACTGACCAAAAATTCTTGTGTCTGCTTAAAGTCTACCAGTGGAATGAAAATGCCAAATCTTTTCCAAGAAACCAAAGAGAAAATAAGAAACAATACGGAAGAAGCATTGAGGCATCCTGAGTTCTACTACAAACAGAGGTCCTTTAGAAGAAACCACCTCAATTATCACTGGAAGCACTTCAAGCCCTCATATGCCAACCCCTCTGGGCTACTCTCTCAGTACCCCAAACCCATGAGCTGCCTGGTCAGGAAGAACTCTGTCTTGAACACTTATCTACACTCATTTCCAAATATGGGAACACTTGCAAGTGGAACCCAAATAAGTGGATCTGGCTTTTACATAAAAAGTTACATTTAAATCAATCTCTGCTCTTCATAAGCTAAATACCAGTCATCATTTCTCAGTCACCACTGGCGTTTCACCCACACGCCAGCCACAAATTCTAGGCCATGAGAGGCTGTGGTCAGCCTGATGTCTGGTCAGTTTGCTAAAGATAACCAGCTAACTTACGGGCTCAGTACTTACACAGAAAGATAACTGCACAGTAGTTAAAAATGTATTTAATGTGTAAAGCATGTTATATAAAATAGATTAAGTTTAAAATTTAATCAAGTTGGTGTAAAAATCCCATGCTGTTCATTAAGCTGGAATATTCCCCCATGAGTGTATTATATTCAACCAAAGACAAAATAGAATGTTCTTCTTTCATAGCACCTTTTTTGAAAAGTAGCAAGTGGTTCTGTGCCTCTGTTTGTGGACATCATCCTTCTCAGAGACAGAGGCAATGGGAATAGGAGACTGGGTGGGGAACTGGGCAACGTGGCCAGGGGAAAACGACTAGGGACCTCATACCCGGAGGCCAACCAGGACAATTTCGGATCATATCAAAAAGGATATTGATTTCATTATCTCTCTGCTGTAGAAGATCTTGCAGCTTTTTATATTCCTCCTCTTTGAATGGTTCTTGGTGGTCTTGCTCTTTGGTTTCAGAGCAAACGGTGCTCTTTCCTTGGATCTTCTTGTCATTCAGTAGTTTCTACAAGATACAATCAGGGCTTAGTAATCAAGTACATTCCGAATATCAGTGTTTATTGGACTCCTTGTATTTCAAAATTCCCTGCCTGTAGAAATCAGGCATGTGTACCCGTTCTTGCTCCTTATATTTGCAGTAATTCCAATTCATTGTGTCTTGCCTTTCACATGTTCTCATCCTCCCTCTTTTCTCTCTTCCCACTGTTTGCACTCTCTGCCCTCTCCTCACTACACTAGAAAATTCTTGATCAAACAATCTTCTCTTGAGGTTATCTCCATTTCCCCAAACTACTTGATTCATTTTTATTTTTCAATAACATTTACCATGGATTGTAAATCTTTACATTCATGTCTTCTCCAGAACCTCTTTATTAACTCTACATGCTTTATGGCTGGCCCGTTGCAGACTCACAATAAATGTTTATTATCTTGTGAAGTATGCCAAATTACAAATGAAACAGTAGTCAAGGTTAATGATATCACAACCATACTATCATGAATGGTAGTATGACTGGTAGTAAACCAAAGACAAAAACAAAACAAAACAAAACAAACAGAAATGATGTTTTCAAACCAAAACTGCTGGAAAAATGGACACTCATCTCTTGAAGTAGCTGAAAATAAAGTTTTGAATACGTAACTATTCCCAGAAAATGTACAGAGTTTCGGCAAAAGAATTGGAAGTACAAGGTCAGAGCTCACTCATTATGAAGACACAGATTCTAAAGAAATTTTGAGGCAATCACAGCATTGGTTTGAAGATCTAACTGTTCTGGATATGGGAAGTTGAGTCCTAACCTTTCAAGAACTGTTCAGCTAAGAAAGCTTTATTGGGGTTTGAACAGGGCTAACAATGCTTGGGACCAGAGGGAATGATTAATTTTACCTTAAAGTGATGGAAACAATGATGAATTTTACGCATATCAGAGCCAACCTCTAGTCTACTCTCTGGATCTTGGTCTTCCAAAAAGGTTTCTGTTTGTTTTTCCAGCCTAAAATACATAATATAGGAAAGCAACATGAATTTAGAACATTATATTTTTGGTTAAAATTTGAGACACAGGCTAGTGGTCCCATTTCTTTATTGAAATAATAGTTACATAATTTGACTATAATAATCAAGGGAGGAAAAGATCCATTGACAAGCTGAAACCTGGAAAAAGGCAATTGTTTGATTAGCTTCCAAATGAATTTTCAAAAGCAGTGTTACTATAAGAATCACTTGATTTTACAAAATGTGTATTCTAGTTAAGCTAATTTCTCTACCTTAGTAGAGAATTTAGCAGCCAATCTGCTAGAGAATTGTAATGAAAGAGATTTTCTTATTAGTTTCATTAAAAATTCATGCTACTTAGTTTCAGTTGAGATCTCACAGAATATCTACAGCCCTTTTAAATCATTCCTGGCTGATGTATATTCCTAACAATGGCTGTTCTGAATCTTTCCACAGTTCCAATGCCTATGACTACTGTTCATGTATCTGTCCGTAATGTAAGGATCCCCTTCAGATGAAATAGCAAAGCTAACATGAGTGAGCTTCTTCCTTCACCTTAGAAGTCTTTGACTCACCACTTGGTCCTCTTCCCTCTTTTTGCTCTTCTTTTTTGTTGGGGGGAATAATACTATTCTTCTCTTTGTGGGCTTTCTTTACTTCTCTCTTGGGCTTTCTTTAGACAAATACCAAAATAAACCAGTTGATGCTCTTCTTGTCACCTCCTTATATAAAAAAGAGAGAGACTCTCTCTCTCTTTTTACGGTAGGAGTACTCCTATTTATTCAGCCATTGATTAAGCTGATTGAATTGGACATGAACTCCATATTACTTTTTTTAAATTTTTGGGTCACGCCAGGCATTTATAGGGGTTACTTCTGGTTCTGCACTCAGGACTTACTCCTAGTCATGCTTAGGGAACTATAGGGGATGCTGGGAATTGAACCTGGGTTGGCTGCATGCAAGGCAAATGCCCTACCCGCTGTACCATCACTCCAGCCCCTACTTTTAAAAAAAATATTTTTAAATTGAATATCCATGAGATAGACCATTACAAAGCTGTTCATAATTGGGCTTCAGTCACACAACGATCCAGCACCCATCCATCCACCAGTGTACATTTCCCACCACTAATGTTCATTTCCCTACCACCATTCCCCAACATCCCACACCCAGACCTAGTCTCCCTCTATGGGAGGCACTTTCCTTCTTGCACTTTCTCTCTCTCTCTCTCTCACTCTCTTTTTCTCTCTCCCTCTCTCTCTCCTTTTCCTTTTGTGCATTATGGTTCGCAATACAGGTTCTAAGAGTCATGGTGTTTGTTCAGGGCATTTGGTATTTTTATCGGAATGGTAAGGCTGGAGTCGCTTTTCAATTGGGTGGCAGCTTTGAGGTGTGGATGTGACTGCCGAGGCTTCCAAAAATACAGAGAGATGGGGGGAGGAAACCCATTCTGACCCCAAGAAAGCCTGGAGACTTCAGTCACAAAATCCACATTCTAGAATTTTCAGCAGATTATGTTTCGGTGAGCTCTGTCCTGAGACGGTGGTCAGGCCAGGGGAATGATGGCGATTTTGGATTGTGGTAGCAAGCGGCTGCCAAGGGCTCTGCTTGGGTGGGCACCAGGCCAGCCTGCCCCATCCAATTTACCCTGGTCTGTTCAGCTGTGCATTGCCTGAGAGTAACTGTGGCTTTTGATCTTTTTTGAGATTTATTTATGGGTCTCTCAAGCAAGGCCGGTAGTAGAACTTACATGGTGGCACTTGAGTTGGTTCATAGGGGTGACTTCCAGTGCTTCCAGGAATATTGAGAAGTGGGGGGAGGTAGCCCATCCCAACTCTGAGAAAGCCTGAGATTTCAGTCACCAGACCCACATACCTGAATTTTTAGGATATTATATCTACCTCTACTACCCAGCTGCCACCACACTCCAGGCCACTTTCCGGATGCTTGGGCCGAGACTCATGCATGAGTGAAACCCACAGAACCAGGTAAGTAGAACTCTGTGACTTTGGACTCCAGGCTCAATGGGACCCAACACCAGAAATCCTCTGCCTGCTCCAACCAATCTCCGGTGATGAAGGGATCACAGCCATAAGCCCCACCCTACTAGTACCAGATAAATACCTCATTGCAGACCTCCACTACCCAGCCGCTGCCATGCTCCGGGCTACTTTCTGGACACATCATAAGACATTTAATACCCATCTTCCAAGATTACTGCACCATACTGGATGGGGTTCAAATATGGTTTGAACCGTGGGAATACCTGCAAGGGTGATTAGAGGCTGACCCAAAAGCCTCTATCCATCTCGGAGAGCCTGGCAAGCTACCGAGAGTATCCTGCCTGCACGGCAGAGCCTGGCAAGCTATCCGTGGCATATTCAATATGCCAAAAACAGTAAATGCAATGGGTATCATTACCTTAACCCTGAAAGAGCCACCAATACAGCAGCGTTAAGAAGGATGAGAAAGGAGAGGCTGATAAAATCTCAAAGCCGAACGAGGCTGCCTAAATGAAGAAGGACAAAAATGACTATCTGTACTTTCAATGCATGTACACTGGCATCGGATGCATCTATTGAGGATCTGATGGTGCAAGTGTGAAAGATCAAGTGTGACATTATTGGTCTGACTGAGACGAGAAGGCATCAACCACATCATGGCATTTTCAACACTGGAGAAGAAATGTTTCTTGGAACATGTGAAAAAAGAGGTGTCGGTAGTGTCGGTGTCCTTGTCAACACGAACTTGGCCATGAGCATTGATTCATTTGAATGCCTAACAACCCGAATCAGACGACTACACTTGAATAGATATGGCTCACTGCCGGCAGTTTTTATCTTCGTTGTCTACGCACCAACATCCAATTATGATGAAGGGGAAATTGAGAAGTTCTACATGCAGCTGGAGAAGTTCTATAAAGAAGACCACACCTTTACCAAGATCATTGTCAGTGATTTTAATGCCAAGATAGGATCGAAAAGATCAGCTGAAGAACTCCATATCAGGACCCATGGCCTAGAATGGAACGAATAGGGTGACAGACTGTCTGAGTTCATCATGTCGACCAAGACCACCCATGGTAACTCACAGTTCCAGAAGGCCAAATCTAAACGTTGGACATGGGAGTCTCCCGGAGGACAGTTCCACAACAAAATTGACCACATAATATTCAATTGATGGTTTTGCCTGACCAATGTAGCTGTTGTCCCAAAATTCCAAATGGGATCGGACCACTGTCTCCTTTGTGCAAAATTCTACTTCACAGAGTGGGGAAAAAGGAATGCAAAGTTTAAAAGGAGAATTCCCAGAACGAACACCAACTGGGAGCTCTTTGGCACTATTGCAGGAACATGGGAAGATGCCATCTTGACAACATTGATGAAGAATATGATCGACTGGTTCAGCACCTCCATGATTGTGTGAGGAACGCTGAGAGAGATAGCTACAAAAAGATGCCTGTCTTCGAAAACTCTTGAGCTCATTCACCAATGTGGCTTGGCACGAGCCTCAGGCAACCACATGCGAACATCCAAGCTTGCAAAGCTGTGCAGAGAAGTGATAAAAGACGACCTCAAAGAGAGAAGAGCAGCAGGGCTGGCAGATGTGGCAGAAGCTGGGAAAAGCATTCGCAATGCATGCCTGTCCTTTGCCAAAAACAAGACCAACGTCCTGATGGGTCTATCACATCTTCCAGAAGGGCAATGGAAAAGATTATCCATGATATCTACTCGGATCTCTTTGACAGCCACATCCACATGCCCACATACCAAATTCCACAGGATGGATATGTCGTTCCCAATGTTTTCCTTTCAGAAATCTGACATCCCATTTCATTGGTAAAGAAGCAAACAGCACCCGGCTCAGACAAGGTCAGACCCAAACACCTGAAGAACCTGCCATCAGTACTCATCAATACACTGGCTCGGCTCATCACATGCTACCTGTCTGAATGCAAGACTCCCACCCAATGGAAAACCAGGAGGACTGTTCTACTGTACAAGAAGGGAGACATCCACGACATTGGCAACTATCACCTGATCTTCCTGTTGCCTGTGGTCTACAAGCTGTTCACTCAAGTCATCCTGAATAGGATTGGCAGAACAGTAGATGAAGGACAATCATGTGAGCAAGTCGGATTCTGAAAAGAATTCAGCATGATCGACCATATTCACATGGTCACCAAGCTTATTGAGGTTTCTCGGGAGTTCAAGATGCCACTCTGTATAATGTTCATTGATTTTAAAAAAGGCCTTTGATTTTGTTGAGACTTAAACGGTCATCGAACCCCTAGCCAAACAGGGCGTTCAAACTCAATACATCAGGATCCTCCGTGAACTGTATTACGGATTCACTACCAGGATCTCACCACTCTACAAGGAAGTGATCATCCATGTAAAGAGAGGGGTTTGGCAGGGTGATATCATTTCACCCAAACTCTTCAGTGCCACCCTCGAGAACATCATGCGATGACTGGAATGGGAAGGAATGGGAGTGAAGATACATGGTCGGCAATTACACCACCTCTCCTTCGCTGATGACATTGTTCTAATAACACCAAATATTAGCCGAGCGCCACAAATGCTTTCCAACTTCGATCATGAGTGTGGAAAGGTTGGACTACAGCTGAATCTCACAAAGACAATGTTTATGAGAAATGGACTTGTTCCTGACGTTCCCTTTGCTCTCAATGTAACAAACATCTGCAAATGTAACATTTATGTGTACCTAGGTAGAGAAGTCAACATGACGAATGACCTAGCACCTGAATTGCACAGGAGAAAGAGAGCAGCTTGGAACACCTTCAAAAGCATCAAAGAAATAGGTAAGAGGACAAAGAACCTCTGGCTCTGGGCACATCTCTTTAATTCCTTTGTTCTTCCTTCATTAACATATGCCTCAGTGACCTGGGCCCTACGAAAACAAGATGGGAACGCTATTTGGGTCTCCCAAAGCAGAATCAAAAGAGCTATGCTTGGAGTATCATGTTTCACTCAC